CCGGCGCTCTGCCGGTAGCATTTGCGTGCTGTGTGCGGCGCTTGCTGCTTGCCAAGGGGTCGGATGTACGCCCTGGCGTCGGCTGGGCACCGGCGCACTGCCGGTATCCACCCACACACTCATACACACTCACGGACAAGCGCATACAATCAAACACACACCTCACCTACACACACCGACCCTTACGCATTCTATTTGTCTCGCCTGTCTCTTCGCCATGCTCACTCTTCAGCACCTTATGTCTGCAGCTTCAATCTTTCGAAGTTGTTCCCATTTGGGGTTATCCGGTCCTATAATTTTCATTGGGTCACCTTCGCCTTCACTTGGCTCACTTGTCGGTGCTGGATACCGCTTTCCTTTTCCCTTCTTGGCCTCACGAGCGGCGTCTTGAGTTGCCACATTGACAGCTCGAGTCAGGCTGTGCGCGCGGTGGAGACAGGTTGCTGGCGCTGGTGCTGTGAGCTGGCTCGTGGTGGAGACAGGTTGCCGGCGCTGGTGCTTGTGCCTTGTGGTTTCACGAGAGCCAGCCGATAGGCCAGGCTGGAGTTGGGGTGGGCGAACGAAGTGAGTACTAGGGGGCGTGGGGTGGGTGCTGCTGCTGGATGCCGGTGCCGGGTGCTGGTGCTCGTTGTGTGCGTGGTGGAGATTGTGGTGCCGGTGCCGGGTGCTGGTGCTGGGCTGTGCGCGCGTAGCGGAGACAGGGTGCCAGTGCTGGCTGCCGGCGCCGGGTGCTGGTGCTAACAGTTCACTTGTTGTTTCGTTTGATGCCATTGCTTCGCAATGATTTTGCTGGGCTGCATTGCTTTTAGCTATTGAAGGGGCAGGAAGTGGCACGTCGCCCTGAAGAGTCGGTCTTGGTGCTCGTAAAAAATTGCAGGATAGAGGTGGGTCAACATGGTTTGAATTTCATCTATTCTTGAAGCGCAAGACAAGCCAGGTTGTGTCGAAATACAGCATCCCATGTTGGCACGCGCTCTTTGCACATTTTTCCGCCAAGCAGCCAGAACGTTGGTTTTGTTTCCAGTGTAAAAAAGGTTCCTGTGTGCGCTTTGGGGCTGCTGCCAATGCAGGGTGCAGTCCAGAAAAGCCTTTGGCATGTTTTGCTATTTGGGGTCTATGCTGGTGTAATTCTTTTTTGGCTAGTTTGGCTGCTAGCTTTCATATGAACCTGCACCAAATACCATTCATGCAGTCATTGTGTTGTCACGAAGCAGCCCGTGGATTAACGTGTGTGGAGGAGAAAAAACTTGGCCCACGACCCACTACGGCCGGTGGCCTGCCCCTTTGACTCTGGCTTGTCGGAAAAATTCAAGCAGACAGGTTTTTGCAGCTGAAACATCAGACATAGCCAACCCTGAACTGCTTGTGCTGATGCCTTTGCCCTCATGTCCTTTGCGTATTTGTGTTGGATATGCCGAGGGAACAGAGCGCTTGATTTTGTCATGGACAATAAGGGTGGCCTCATGGCGCTCATGCTGAGTCCCAAACGCAAGAGACAAAGGAAAACAACCGGTTGAAGACAACAGGTTGGCTGAACTGCTCAACATTCTCTTTTGGTTGCTTTCGTCCGGGCGTGGCAAGGACAAAACATTGCTGATCAATGTGGCAGTGAAACGCGTGGGACACTCATGATGTAAGTCAGTCTGTCCCTGTTGCGACTGTGGCTGTAGGTATATCAGAAGTGAACCATTAGAGAGGTGATGCCGCCACTTGATGGGAAACCATGCGAGCTCTCTTTGACTGCTTGGGGTGGGCAGGGGCTTGCAAATATGCACATAGGATCGGTATCCCTTCAGGGCATCCGCGTTGCCCACCCATTTGTGTGTTTCCTTTGTGCGAACAAAAACTTAAAACCAACAACCAACTGTTTGTGGTTCCGTGTTGCTCGTGGGGCCAAGAGTAAAAAACATATCCACACGGATACCAACGGAAGCAAAAAATACGGAAAAACACATTGCAGGAAAGCCATATATAAGTGAATCAAAACCCTTTGATATTCCGAATATGGTTGTTGAGTTGGATTTTTCTGCCTGTTGGTGGGAAAGGTGATGTAAAGGGGTTTGTTCAGAGCAGGGGCATTATTTGCATCATGCATTTTGTTTCTGTTACCCTTGGGGTTTCCACTCCGACATAAGAGGGAGGTTTCACAAGAGAGAAAAAACATTGGGCGGTCGTTTCCAAATGACACATCCACTTCGGCATTCACCTCGTACATGTTGCATTTTAGATCATTGTAGTATATAACGACAAAAGAGGTAGCTGCCCGGGCCAACCCATTCTTTTGCTTATGTCTTGATCATCCATCGCTCTCCCTTCCTTGCCGGAACTGTTTTGCAGATGCACCTTTGGGCCCTGATCGACACGATCCATAATGATTACGGGTGACACTGAGTCGCACAGCTTTTGAGGATTGATCAGCTGGCATGGTTTTGTCGATCGTCGATCAGCGCACGGCATCAGGGCACTTGAAGCATCGGGAGTCGATCGGATCAGCCACTGAAGCCACTGCCTTCCACTCACTTGTGTAGGCTACTTCAGGACCAAAGCTGTCTTGGAACACAAGTCCAACACGTGGACCGAAAGAGAAGCAGGAAGATAGAAAAGTCAAGATCGGTGCCAAGGAGTGAGAGAGGGAGAAACAAAGAGAGTAAAGGGGGAGATACTGTAGGTGAAAATATCGAAAGGGAAAACAATGGGAAGGAACAGAGACAGAGAAGATGCAATGTTTTTCCCGCAGTTGGCCTGAGACACAAAATCAGTCCAAAAGCAAGAGAGGACGTACAGATAACGGAGCAACAAAACAAACGATTGGAAGAGTGAGTTGGATGTGCAAGACAAGCTGCCAATATGTCAATGTTGAAAGCAAGTCCTTTAAGGAGCAAAGTTAATGAGTAAAGAACCAACTTCTAGGATGGCAATGGGGGTGAAACAACAGAGTGACAGAGCGGCACAAACACAACACCGCGAGAGAAAACTGTACAAAGCCCGGCTTTCAGTCTGTGTGCTTGAGGGCTGGCTGGACCAATAAAGGCCGTGAAAGTGTACATCGAAGGCATTGGGTCTGCCTACGCATCGTTTGTTGCATGTTGAGTCGGTGTCTTCATTTTCGCGGAATGCCATGATGGCTCAATCTTCACTTCACCGTGCAGCTGCTTTTCCCATCAGACACATGTAAAGCCCATTCACAAGTCACTGGCAGACTACAAACAGGCTTAGCCAATAGTCCATGCTGACAGCAATATCAACCTTCAGGGAGCACGTGCTAGCTTTTACATGCATGGCGCGTGGAGAACGACCCTTCATTCGCAGGCCAAATCCCTGTTTGTAAGATTTGTGCTCGGTTCCTTGGCACTTCTTGGTCCTTCATTGCGAATGTTTGGACCTGCAGGGCCTTGGTGCTGTGTGTAGTGGCAGTGGGTTGCTTGCAGCAAGGCAAGGCTGTTGGTGCTATGCTGCTTTCGACGAACCTTGAAATGTCAACAAACAGGTCTTTTGAATATCAAGACATTGGTCAGTTTCAAGGGTGATGTCAAAAGGGAAGAACAACTCAAAGAAACAACAGTTCAAACATGTGCTTCAAGGCGACATATTTGCCGCCGGATTGTTGCCAGGCTTTGTGCTTCAGGCTTTGTCTAGAAGACATGTCCAGAGCTCCAGTAGTAAAAGAGATTTGACCAAGTTAAAAACTGCAAACTTGCACTTTTTGTCAGTCAGGTCGGGCTGGTTGCTGGTTGCCTCCTTCTGAGCACTGGTGCCGGGGATGTGAAAGCAGCTACGTGTCTCCGGCCTTTTGAAGTGGAATCACATCAACCACCTGCCAAGTTTTCAAATTTTCGAGCCCTCGTTGCCAAGAGTAATTTGCGGTATGCTGCTTGCAGGGTGACACAGGCTGACAAAGACAGGCTAGCAAGAGGCTACAAAGAAATGTCTTGATCTGAGCTCGCTTGTCATCCTTGCTGGCTTAGTGATACTCAACAGAGTGCATCTTGAGGGTCTACATGATGAAGAATTGGGACACTGTCACACGCAAGTGTGAAAAGAACCAGGATTGCTGGCTGCTGGAATAGATTTTTGCGTTTTGGGATGTTCTGCTTGTTTTGTTGCGAGGAGAACATACAGCGAGCTTTGCAATCTGGGCAGGCGACAATGACCACCTAGAGCCAAAAAGAACATTCGAAGCAGACAGACTTCGTATCAGAGTGGTCAACAACTTGCGCCAGTTGTCTCCAAACAGTTGCGTCGCGAGCCCGCTAGTAGTTTGGATCCTAGGAAGGACCCTGTTCATCACATGTCCAGTCCTGTTCTCTGAATGAACGTGGGTAACATTACCGCTGAATATTGAGGGCAGGATTGCAGCTTGAGGTTCGGAAGTACCTTGGACAGACCTCTACAAAAGCTGATCTATTCAATACGAAAGACTTGTTGGTCAACCTGGAGGCCTGCTTGGTGGAAGCTTTTCAATTCCTCGTCATTGAACACATATATAGAGATTCAATCACTCCTCTTTTTGCCTGGTCAGTTGGCGGGAAACGTTGATTCAAAGTTTGAAGATGAGAACCTCGGACGCTTACAGTCAGAATCAGCGCCACAGTTCTCACTGAGAGGTATTCTGTGAGTATTCAATTATTAAATACTTTCAGTGTTCGAATGAAGAACAGAGGCGATCTGTATTTTGATATAAGTGAAGCACTGTCAAGGTATGGTGATTTGGTTGAGGACTTTGAAACCTTCAAGCGCCAGGAGGGAACCCGAAGTCGAAGCTGGACGGGGGCTGGGCAACCGAATTAAGGACGCTGACAACACAAAGGATTGCATCATTTGAGAATGTATGGCTACACCAGCTGCTAGGAAATTGACTATATATATATATATATAACCGACTAGCTTCTATCCTGGCAGTAGTGCTTTGTCAAAATTGTGGCAGAAACACTGTAGGGAATCGGCAGGCATTTTCCTCAAGCCTAAGGGCGCCTTGTTTGGCCAGCGGCCAGTGCGAACAATTGCGGATGCTTCCATTTCCAAGTGGGTAAAACTGGAGCGTATGCTGGTGGCAACTCATGATCTCTTTCACACCCGTCCTCAGGTGATTACCCTGATCAAAATGCTAGTGGCTAATGCCAGCAGCTGCACGTGTAGCAGGCGATTGTACCTTTCCATGGGCCGTTGAGGTGGATGTGCTGGTTGATGTTCTTAAGGCCGTTCTCCTCCTTGGTACCTGATCCAGATGTGATCAGGTCGCCAACTTGGCTGGGCATGATGCCAACGAACTTGATGTCCTCGTAGAGTAAGAAGAGTACCATCTCCAGTTGAGACGATACCCATCCAGTGGTGGGTGCTTCATGGACTAGCTTCTTCCACAAACGCTTTCATGATAGGGGTTGGGAAAAGAGCGCCTCGTCGGACTTGGATCAAGAGTTGACGCAGAATAGACTGCAAGGAGGCAAGTTGAAGCCGAGCAGACTTGTGTGATCGGAGCGCTCCATGTACTGCTCCAACAGCTCGGCCCCTTCGGAGTGAGGACTACCGCAGATCAGTTTCCAAGGAGGTTATGGCAGCTGTCGAAACCTACTTGTAGTGCTTGTAGCCTTTTCGCCAACCAATGTAGTGAAGCCACACACTCCTTCTTTTGAGTCAAGGTGCAGTGGAACCGCGGCCTCAGGCAGAGTTCAAGCGTCAACCCTCATGAGGGCTCCACTTGCCATCAAAACCGCGGCAGGAATGTTTTAGCAAATCGACGGCCTTTGTCCTGAAGCCTGAGGGCACCCTGTTTGGGCCAATGCGGGCAATGAATCTGGAGTGCATGCTGACACCTGACCTTCTATTTTCACATTCTATAGTATGTTTCTACAGTCATATTTTGGTGCCTAGAGCTCTACTCACCCCCTACTTTACCTGGCCTTTCCTCCTTTTCTATTTTTTCGCTTGTGCAATTAACTAATTGACCCTCTTCTTCTCATTTACTTCAAATAGCATTTTTTGCTGAGAACACTGATTTGCCATATTATAAAGTTTCTTCTTTTTTGCTCCTCTCTCCTCAACAAGTTCTTTCTAGGTCTACTTCGTTCCACAAGTTTTTCCATTGCTCTATTTTTGGCTTGACATTTTAGTTTCAGTCATTTTCATGGCTAACTTTTGCAATGAATTCAAACCAAGATGGACCTTACAACCCTATTTAAGATTTAGTGTCGCTTTGGTTTGAACGATAACTATCCATCATCAAGGACGAAATCGTCACCACAAAGTATAGATTTCTTGACGGAAGGCCTTCTTAAGGTTATGACCAACAAGAAGAGACACTTTTTATGCTCGATAGGACTTGTTTTGATCGAGGAAACAATTGAAACGAGAAGAGGTTGTGAGAAAGAAGGCTTGGAACAAGGAAGATGCTTGGAATGATGATTGTATATACATGTACACATTTGCAGGAAAAGACCTGTAGAACCGATAAGTTGGAGTATTGTATGATACAGGCTTTTGGAGAAGAAAGGACATTTCCACGCATGCACAACTTTTATCGAAGATGGAAGGACGATTGAAGCGGATGACTCTTGAACAAGAGGGCGAAACTATCAAAATTACACCACCGTAGACCCCAAACAGCTTGTGTTTTTCAAAAATCGGAACACTCTGCAACTAGTTCTTGCGACGTCCAGACCTGGGAGACAAAGGACTGCAAGGCAGGGTCCAGAGCTGGGAGACAAATGTAAACGATTGCAAGCGACACGCAGCCCAGAGCTGGGAGACAAATGTAGGGGATTGCAGGGCAGAGCAGCTGGGAGACAAATATGAAGTTGCAAGTGAGAGGGGGAGAGAGGAGGATATGAGGAAGACAAGGCGGACACAACGACCAACAAGAAGGGGGACAACAAGGGAGACAAGACGGACACAGTGCCCAGCAAGAAAAGAGACAAGACCGGAGACAAAGGGAGGCAGAAGGGAGACAAGGCAGACGCAATGACCAACAAGAAGGGAGACAAGAATGGAGAAAAAAGGAAACAGAGGGGAGACAAGACCAACAAGAAGGGAGACAAGACCGGAGACAAATGGGAGACAAGAAGGGAGACAAGGCGGACACAATGACCAACAAGGAGGGAGACAAACGGAAACAGAAGAGAGAGACAAGAAGGGAGACCAATGGAAACAGAAGGGAGACAAGGCGGACACAGTGACCAACAAGAAGGGAGACCAAGAGAGACAAGCCGGACGGAAGGCGGACACGCTGTCCGGCAGCAAGGCGGACACTCTTAGAAAGCATTTAGAACCCCTAGCAGTAACCTGTTTGGGGAAGTAGAACGGACAGCAGTGCAGGCACTGAACCTGGGAGACAAAAGTAAAGAAATCACTTCAAAGACAAACGAATTGAAGTGCTGCATGGCCAGCGGAAATGGGCGGACACCAGCAGTGACAGAAAGCGCGGACACATCTTAAGAAAGAAGTGACAAACCCTACGTAACGGCAAACTGTTTGGGGAATGAATAGCAATGTTGCATGGCCTGCAAAAAGGGCGGACACCAGCAGTGACAGGCCTGGGAGACAATGAATAGAAATGCTACATGGGCCAGCGGTGACAAAGCTGGGAGACAAATGAATAGAAATAGGGCCGGACACCACCAATGACGGCGGACACCAGCAGCGACGGACTTGGGAGACAAATGCGTAGAAATGCTGCATGGCCAGCGGAAAAGGGCGGACACCAGCAGTGACAGACCATGAATAGAAATGCTACATGGCCAGCGGAAAAGGGCGGACACCACCAGTGACAGACCTGGGAGACAAATGAATAGAAGGCGGACACCACCAGTGACAGACCTGGGAGACAAATGAATAGAAATGTTGCATCGCCAGCGGAAAGGGGCGGACACCAGCGCAACAAATCTGGCAGACAAATGAATAGAAATGCTACATGGCCAGCGGAAAAGGGCGGACACCAGCAGTGACAGACCT